ATGGTAAAGCTTTCAGATATGAACTCAATATGCAAAATTAAGAAACAGTTTTATACAAGTATCTAGCTAAGAAAGAAATCAATAATTCCATTTAAATAGTATCAATATCATAAAAAGCATCAACAAAAATAGAAATAAATTTAATGCAGGTTTTAAAGTCTCTAAAAACTGAAAATTATAAAACACTGATGAAAGAAATTGAGATGCCAGAGGTAAATGGGAGGATAACCTGTATTCGTGGATCTGAAGAGTCAATGATGTCAGAGGTTCACTGTGGCCAAAATGGCTTAGATTTGAGCTGTGCCTCTGATCCAAACTAAAAGGCCACATTTTATAAACAGACAAAAGCCGCCCTAAACCCAGAAAAGTAAAATCAGAGGACCTTAAATGTCCAAAGCCACCTTGAACAATATGTAATCACAGCAATATTTCAGATTCATAACTGGAGGCATTCGAGTGCCTGATTTCAAAAACTGTTACAAAGCTAGAGTAACAAAAACAAGAGTATATTGGCATAAAAACAGTCACATAGCAAATCGATGGAGAGAGAACCTGTAAACCCACAGACCGGACATCTGTCAACCTTTGCCAAGTGCATCAAAAGCACACGGTGGAGAAAGCAGCACTGGGAACCCCTCAGTCAGCATCACTGGAAAACTGGATAGCCACGAACAGAGTGGTTTTTGTTGTTGTTGTTTTTTTTTTTCGAGACAGGGTTTCTCTGTGTAGCTTTGGAGCCTTTCCTGGAACTCACTCTGTAGCCCAGGCTTGCCTGGAACTCATAGAGATCTACCTGGCTCTGCCTCCCAAGTGCTGGGATTAAAGGCGTGCACCACCACCGCCCAGCAAGTGTTAAACCTTTTTAAAATGAACTTGACTTACTCAATAGAAAGAAAGTAAATCATTTTCATTAAAAATGGACAAAAGAGTGTAAGAGCCAGAGGGGATGAAGACCACCATGGAAACAAGACCTTCTAAACACAGCAAGACTGACACACATACGAACTCACACTGTCTGTGGAAGCACACACGCACAGGACCTGCACAGATGGAGCCCCAGCACTGAAAGGAGAAGTGGACAAGTGTGCCAACCCCTAACCCAGAAGCCATCTCCAGTTGATAACCACTTGCAAATGAAAACTTTGTTTTTTTCCAAAGGAGCCTCACTGGAGAAACTCACTCTTAAGGGCATGTCCCATGCCCAGCAGCAGGTGACCAGCACAAAATGAACTCAGTGGCATCTTCAGAGGTTCTTTGTCTGATAATATTGTGTTAGGGCATGTTTTTAATGTTACAGGTCTTTGAGTATAGATTATGGCTTCTGGTTTTGTGAGGCTTTGGGGGGCATTCCTGTGTGAGTATAGATTATGGCTTCTGGTTTTGTGAGGCTTTGGGGGGCATTCCTGTGTGAGTATAGATTATGGCTTCTGGTTTTGTGAGGTTTTGGGGGGCATTCCTGTGTGTACATATGTGTGTGTCTCTGCGTCCGTATTGTTTCTCATGCTTTTTCTGTGGCTCTTTTTCTTCTGTATGTTTTGTTTTATCTAATTTTATTATTATTCCATAGCTGCCTGTTTGTTTTCTAAGGATAGACAGAAAGGGTACAGATGTGGATGGGAAGGGAGATGGGGAAAAATTGGAGCAGTTGGGCGAGGGGAAGCTATATTCAGGATATATCATATGAAAAAGATCTGTTTTCGACAAAAGAAAAAACAATGAACAAAAGGGGCTGCACAGTTGGCTCATTGGGGACTGTGATTGATGCACTAACATGAGATCATGAATTTAGATCAACACCCACATGAAAATTCAGGCATGGCACAGCACACCTGCAAACCCAACACTGGGAAATGGAGACAGGTAGGTCCTGAGAAAACTGACTGAAAAAGATATTCTAATGTCAACCTACAGCCTCTGGACATACCTGTACAACAAGTGCATTTGCATATCACACACATACACACACACACACAATCTACAAATACACTACATACACCATACACACATGCGTACCACACACACAAACTCACACGCATATACACATATACACATGCAAACCACACATAACACCCACACATGCACATGCACACACACATGCACACTCGCAATGAACTAATTATCTGGATAAACATTTATCAAAGAAGACATACAAGTGGCCAAAGGGTACATGAAAACCATTCATCACTGACCATTAAGAAAATTCAATTCAAAACCACAATGACATATTGCCTTATACCCATTTGACCAGCCATCTAAGAAACAGATGGCAAGTATCATGATGATGGGGAGGACAAGGAAGCTTGAGCTCCAGCTGTTAAGAATGTAACTGATTGAGCCATTATCAAAACAGTATGTAAGTTCATCAAACACTAAAAGCATAACTACCATATAGTCTGGCAATCATACTCATAGGTATAAAGAAATAAACCACTCACTATAATCAAAATATGCAAGCATGCAAAAGAATATTCAGCAGCTGAATGGGTAAAGAAACTGGTGTGTGGCCATGTATGCAAATGAAATGCTATTCAGTCTTCAAAAGGCCTTCACAGAGAAGGAAATCCTTGCATTTGCCATAGCATGGCTAAACCTTGAGGACATCATACAATAGAGAGTAAGCCAGATGCAGAAAGGTGTGTATTTTGTGATTTTTCTTCTGTGTGAATATAAAAACATTCTATTCTATCCTAATTCTAAAAACATCAAGGGCATAGGAACAGGTTAGAATGGTGGTTATCGGGGCTAGGAGATGGGAATATATGGCCAGATAGTGGTCCTAAGATATAAAGATTCATTTTGGGGGAAGTGGAGGGAGGGAAGGACCTAGAAACCTAATATACAACACAACTGTCACAGTCAGTAGTGTTTTGTTGTATATCTAAACTGTCACCACAATAAGATAAAAAGTCATGTAAGGTGTTGACTATGTTAATTACATTGATTGCTGCAACCATTTGGGGATGTATGTATACTTTCTAAAACATTGTGCTGTATTCCATAAACACAATTTTCTTTAGTTAATTGTACCTAATTAAAGCTGGGGGCAAATCTCACCTTAGATATATGAAACCATATCTCTCCACTGATATTAAAAATAGATAGAATATACAAGTGCAGCAATGTCCTAAAGAGATGAATTTAGGAAATAACAGCATAAAGAAAGAAACTATTATAGCTTAGTTCTAGATAAGAAAACACAAACAAGAAGGAAGGAAGGAAATGTGCCTGCCCTCTTATCTCCCAGGAAGCAATGAGACAAATATCCCCAGAAAGCATGCTGGATAAATTCAAGGTTGGTCACCTCTTTCCCTAGTGTTGCTGGTCCTAGGGACCCCAGACACCAAGAGAATGGCAGTGTGGTTAATCCACTTCTATGAGCAAGAAATCTATGAGCCCCACTGGTCAAATTCCTGTGCTTCCAAATTTCTTAAACACTGTACATAACCATTATTTCTTAAAAATAGGCCAAATGGGATCACTGACAATCGGCTATAAAATAAATAAATAAGTACTTGTTTCTCTTCATCAAGATCAGTTTGATTAGAATCTGAAAGATGAAATAAAATATTTCACATTCCATTAGGAATAAGTTTGATGATTTTATTTAAACTGTGGATATGTTTAGCATCAAGAAATACGGCCACAACTACTGGCATTTATTTGAGTATTTCTTGAGATTTTATAGATACTTAGAATTTCATCACTAAATTGGGTTTTATCAGCTTTCTGATAAAGTAGTAGAATTTCCTCATTACTTATGGAAGGGCCTTAGGCACGGAGCACAAACTCTCATACCTAGCAATTGACCCATTATAATATGAAGATCAACCATTTTGACCCTAAACCCACTGGGTTTTATCTCAATTTCTTACTTCAATTTCTATGTTTATGGATTCATTTTCATACTAGAAAATTTTAAGAACATACCATACCCATAAGAGAAATATCTGCAAATGTTTCATTTTGTAACACTGGTAGATTTCTGCTTTAGAACATTAAAATAAGGATTGGTATTTTAAAAGATAAAAAACAAGCCCAAGTTGATGGGAAGTATTTTTAATTAATCATTTGTGATTTATTTTGCATATTTTAAATACAAGCAAAGTGGAAAATGGAATGATACATGCTGCTCAGCCTTTCTACATCCAAAGCAATGAATTTTTCCACTAACTGTAGTATTACATAATTCAATCTATATAACAATATGAAGCTATGCATTGGACATGGTTAGAAAAGTGATAGTTCAGATAGATGTGTGTTAGAATCATCCAGTTAACTCCAACAGGCTGAAGGAACTTGATACTTCCCCTCTACAAATTCTACATTGTAAAATCAGGAAATAGTTTTCAATTGAGGTTATGTTGATGGCCTTCCTTTCGTCCTTTGGTACTTTGGTTCTTGTGTTTTTCTGATAGAGACTCCATTGTTATACCTTGAATATGTCACTAGAGCCCCATATTTATCTAGAAGCAAATTTAAAATTCTGGAAATGTAAGAATCACCATAAGAAACCATGATCTGTGTTTGGTATGCACTTTAAGTCTCTCAGTTTGCAAAAGCATGTATTTGGTAATGGGTTAATATCTGATATGCAAATATGTCATTTAGTAAGAGAATGTGTCATTACAAAGAAATCAAATAAAAGATATCCATTCTGAAAATTCAAGAATTAGGCACGGAAACAAATTGCTATGTCCACAAAGAGGAATTCCAGACTGACCATTCATGTGAAAGCAGCCATTCTTTCTGAAATGTCACCAATTCTTTAGCACTTACAATATTGTTCACTTCTGTAGTTTTCTTCCAGAACTTAAAACAATCAAGGATATTGTACAGTGTGCATGACATTCCCTCCCCAGGGTTAACAGTTTGTCAAAATAAGAGCTCTATAAAAGTGCAGTCCTTCCCTACAGTGTACATCTTGTGACTGCTTTCTGATGCGTTGGAGGGATCATGGTATCCAGGGTTTAATCTCTGTAGTATAAAATATGCAGCCTTACCTTGCCCAGCTGGTCCTTCTTGACGAAACCAGTGGCAGCAGCAATGTTCCCAGCTCCCTCCACTGTCTTCTGGGCGACGGCTGTCACACCAGTCACCACTGCCCCTCCAACATTTGTCACTTGCTCTTTGGTCTTTTCAGCCACTTAAGAAAATCAAGAGCAACAGCATATTAAAAGATGGTGGTGGGGCAGACTTTAAAAAATCCCAGTTTCAGCAGCTGTGGATTTCTATAGACACATATGCCATAGGCAACAAGAGTCTGAGGAAACAAGACACCAAGGCAGAAGTGACATGTTTCAGCCAAACACTGGATCTGAGTTATCATTATGCATAGATTAGAAAATATTGAGAGTTTAGTTATAACACAGTGCAAACAAGATTTGGGTTGCATTGAGGCAAATGGACAGAAAACAACACACTAGGTACAGTGCCAAGTTGTCTGAGCATCTCAGCATTATTTCAGGTTCAATGCCAACTCTTTGGTCTCATTTACCAAGTTCACTTCCGTGATCCTTTCTCAGTAAACACTGCTCACACATTTAGTATCACTACTTTGAATGTAAAAAATTCAAAATGTTCCTGAATTCTTAACTTTGGAGCACCACCAATTCAATACTAGCACAAAGTTTCACATCATGAACTTTGTTACATGCTCAGAATGATTCTAAATTAGAGTATGACATGGTCTTCAGACAGTATGTACAGGGTATATGTAATATAAGTGAATTTCATGTTTAGACTTGGGTCCCACTGCCAAGACATCTCATTACAGGCATGCAAGTCAGAAGTAGCTGAAATCTAAAGCAAGTCTTGCCTTTAAGCATCTCTGAAAAGGAGGCCCTACATGCTCATACACACTCCTCGGATGTTTTGGAGATAGGTGATAGAAGAAGACATGGTAGAGTAAAAAGATGGTTCTTTTAAAAGATTATTTTTTTAATTAAGTGTATTTGTGTCTGTTGGGGGCAGGTAGGTACACATGTGTGCAGGTGCACAAGGATTCCAGAATGTGCAGTCAGATCCCCTGGGGCTGGAGTTACAGGAGGATGAAGGCTTCCCAGCATGGGTGCTGAGAACATAATTCTGGCAAGTGCTCTGAAACACTGAGCCATCTCTCTAGCCAAACAAAAACGTTAAGACAAAATTTCAGCCACTTTAATGGAAGCAGAGAAGCTAGAATTCTAGTAAATGAGAAAACGAAGAGATTTACTGAGTATACTTGTATTTTATTTCCATGAAAAAAAAATAGGGCTCTTTAATATGTTTTTTAAACAGGTTAAAATTCAGAGAAAATACTACAAAATAGTTCAGGTGGGATTTATTAGCAGAGATTTATTTTCATAATTCTCCATGGCATCCTTGAAGTACGCCTAATTGCTAAGCCAGTCTTTCTTAACCAATTCCATGTATGTTTATAACAGAAACTCAAAAGGAAATGTCTTTCCACTAACTCCAGAGTTCCATGCAAGTAGAACATGAGATCCCACTTGTTACATAATTCTAAGCTAAACAAATAAGTAAAAGAGCATGTCTGCAACTGAACGTCTACATCCTATATTCACAAAGCCTGATGTCTTCCAGTTCTCATCTGCATGGATGTCATGCTTGCCTTTTGTTTACTCTACATTTGTTTTGGTTTTTTGGTTTTTTTGGGGGGGTGGTGGAGGGGCGGGGGTTGCGGGGTTTTTGTTTGTTGTTTGTTTTTGGTTTTTTTTTTTGTTTTTGCTTTTGCCCCAAATTTCAGTTGTTTGAGTTCATACACTCCCTGTGTTTTCTCTCCTAAGCAAATTTTATGCTTGTTTTTCTTCGTGCTCTCCTGAGAAGCCTGTGTCCTCATACCCTGTGGAGATGAATCACACCACATCAGCTATTCACATGACTACTACACTTACACAGATTTCCCATCATCAGCCAGAAAGGCCAGTAATCTAATAATGTGGGCAAAGAAAATTAATTTGGAAGGGACAAGTTCTGTCAATTGAACTTAAGTTGGCTTGTAATGGCACCGCCTTACCCCTTAGGTCAGGCAGTGTGGGGAAGCCTGAAGGTCATGGAGATGGCAACCAGCATTCACAAAAGTGACTCCATAGCTGCCTTTCAGGTTTGAGCTCTAAAAGTCTGGCTATGGACTCCCTGCCATTCTGTATGCTTTCTGAAGAGCACCGGGTATCCACGGTGTAATTTTAAAGGCCAGAGCAGAGCAATGTTAGAAAATTTGCTTTTAAATGTTGCTGGAATCATACTGAATTCTGTTTCAGGTTGTTATTTTTTCTTCCAAGAATACGATAAAAAGTTTTGCTTGAGATTAACATTTTCTTGTTAAAACATCTCAAAGCAAGGCAAAATAGGTTTTGCCTTTTTACATATTCATTTTTTCTGCCAGCCATAAACTTTACTTTTTGTGCACACTTCTTTATATAAATATCAATTTTAATCTGTTGTTTTTAAAACACAAAAATTGTACAGTAAGTGTAATTTATACATGATTCCCATTTTTTCTGTTTTATCATAATAATAAAGAACATTATAAAATGACAGCTTATGATAGTGATACAGATATGCTCATAAAGATATGAATATAAGCATCTGTAGGACTATATTTTGCCTTTAAGATCTTTACCCTGTTTATCTATTCATTGACACTGCCTTAGAAAACAAAAGGAGACAAACTTATTTATGCTTTCTTCTTTCAATAAATGACATTTATTTTGTAGCTAAAGACGTTATAATCAGGATCAAAAGAGTATTTTCCTACTGTCTTAGTTAGGGTTTCTATTGCTGCAATGAAACACCATGACTATAAAGCAAGTTGGGGAGGAAAGGGTTTATTCAGCTTACAATTCCACATTGCTGTTTACCACTGAAGGAAGTCAGGACAGGAACTCAAACAAGACAGGATCATGGAGGCAGGAGCTGATGTAGACGTCATGGAGGGTTGCTGCTTACTGGCTTGCTTATCATGGCTTGCTCAGCCTGCTCTTCTATGGAACCCAGGTCCAGCAGCCTAGGGATAACACCACCCACAATGGCCTGGGCCCTCCGCCATTGACCACTAACTGAGAAAATGCTTTACAGCTGGATGTCATGGAGGCATTTCCTCAGTGAGGCTCCTTCCTCTCTGATGACTCTAGCTTGTATCAAGTTAACACATAAAACCAGCCACCAGTGGTAGGTAATGGGGTAAGCTGTAGGAGAGTCTCTTGCTTCTTTGTGTAAATATTACTAACAATAATGGAAACATTTACTGAGCAGGTATGATGCACCTGTAATGTGCATTTTATATCCAGCCCAATAAATCACCAACTCTCCCTCTATTCTCATATTGAGGTGATTACCAGAAGCATTTGTCCCTATAATAGAAATCTGGGTTTTATATTAAATAATACTACTCAATAAATTAAGCAATTTATTTATATGCAGTGGGGAGGAATGGTACTTACTGTGGCCTCTTTTTGACAATGCATTTATTCATAGCCAGACTAACTGTGATAGCGTTTGATATTATACTGCTGCCAAAGTTCTTCACTGCTAGAATGGCAGCACATGTTGACTATACTTGCATCACTATGTTCTTGCTGCCTAACAGTGTCTCTCACAGAGTGCTTTGTGAAACACTAGATTCATATGATACAATAAGTATTGAAAGGAAGTTTTCATTAGCGAACGTTTCAAGATCCCTGGATTATAGGATATTATGTGTGTTTATTTATTGTGAGACATCTCAAGTTCTTTAATAGACTAAAGGGAAACTACAGTATGTAAAAATTTTAAACATTGTAAAACTATGGAAACATAAGCTTGCTGACTATTATTCTTTAGAAAACATTTGTAAAATATTGTCTATTGCACAAACACACCTTCCCTCCCTCCCTCTTTCTTGCTCCACCTACCCTACACAGGGAAAAAGAAAACCTCCTGTTCTACATCCTACTATTCAAGAGGACACTAAACATTTCCAAACTTGTCTACAGAGAGCTCTGCAGCCTGTCCCCACAGAAGACTCTAAACCTCTCCCCTTGGCTACCTGTACCCTTTGACTACCTGTGCTGTGAACAATGTGGCTTCTCCTTCAACTATCAAAACTGAAAAACATTACTCTAAGGTGAGGCCTCTTTATGATACTCTCCACTTGTCTAATCTCTGTGTCTTACTACATTCATGTTTAAGTTTGGCTTTCTTTCAGCCTCCAGAGACCAAGAAGCCTTTTATTTGTCTCACTGTCTGCACTTCCTGTTGGCCAGCAGCAGAGAGAAGGTATCAGCACTGTGAGCTTCGAGCCTGTGTTCCTGGGCTTTGATTTTACTTTTGAGGTCTCATTCTTTATCAGAACCTTGTACTAAAAGGGATGAAGCTATTTTCTTCCTCTGCTGGCCAAAGTTGCTCAGGAAAGGGTCACTGGGAGACGCAAGTTGTCCCTGTATAATGCAATGGATTTGCTTTCAGTTTTCAAGATCATAGATGAGAAAATTAAATCCAGGGAAAGACAGGACTCCAGCAGAAAATCAGGCAGCAATAAAGAATAAACAAAAATTTGAATCAAGCCCTGACTCTGGCATTTGCATATTTCCCATACTGAAGTAAGAGTAACATTTTCTCTGTTTCTATTTTATAGGTTGTTGATGGGCACTTGCTGTGCTGCATGGTTTTATCATGGCCAAGGCTTCCTGATCAGTTACATTCCTAACAGGTCTATCCTCACCATAGGAAGTCTGATGTATGATGAATGTATCTTAGGGAGTCTGATGTATGATGAATGTATCTTAGGGAGTCTGATGTATGATGAATGTATCTTAGGGAGTCTGATGTATGATGAATGTATCTTAGGGAGTCTGATGTATGATGAATGTATCTTAGGGAGTCTGGCCGCAGCCAGCCTGTGGCGACTGGATCGTACTTGTTTTCCTAGTCTTATATCACTCACTATCTTCCTACCGTTGCTGCAACATCTTTGACATTTTTGTTCTTTATTGTATGTCGTATTTTAGATTTATTGAAATTCTTTCTGCAATTATGCTAAGTGGACATAAATACAATAAAAACTATATGTTTTTTTAAAATAACATACTCCTAAGGATATTTTCTAAAAAGAACTCTTAATCAGATGAAAAGTTTAATCAGTTTAATTTACAGTCGAAATACCAAACACTGGAGAAATGTTTATATAAAACATTTGAAGAAACAATAGCATTATTACGTTTTATTTATTTTGCTATTTGTGTTTTTTTATCTTGTTTTGTTTTGTTTCATCCAAATACCCAAATACCAAACCATTACGATTAAATACGACTGGCAAATTTAAAGCCATTATCTTTCACCATTAGACTTTTGGGCTATTAATCTTTAATCCATATTTGCCTATTTAAAAATACTTCATAAACAATAAGATTTAAACAAGGCTAGTAGTATGCAAGGTACATTGGCACATGGCTCTAATCCCAATACTTAAAAGGTTGAAGCAGAACCCAGTCTGACTTACATAGCAAGACTCAGTCTCAACAAAGCAAAATAAATAAAAAATAAATACACTAAAAAATAAACTAACCAATGTTCCTCTGTAGACAGAGGCTTTGACAGCTGTACTTTGAACCATAAGCATAAAGTGCAGTTGGCCTAAAGGGCATTTTGGATATCACCTCTGGATAAAAGCCAATGAAACTTACCTGTGGTGACTCCATGAACCACTCCCTCCTTAGTTTTGGAACCTAAAAAACAAAGAAATTGAATGCATAAGTCTTAAACTGTCCTTGGATTTCAAGTTAGCCAATTAAAATATCTCAATATTTAGAAGTTCATGTACAAAGATAGCCTCAAAAGACAAGCAAAACCAAGCACAAACAAAACCCACTAAACTGGGGAGATATAGCCACCAGAACATATGAAATCTAGCAGGGGCTTCTCCAGGTGAGTTCAGCAGGGAAGGCTGGAGAGCATAATTAACATGCAGCAAACTGAGTTAGTCAGCAGTATGAAACTCCTGTGCTGTTCCAGTGGGGTGATCATAGGCAGCAACAGGGCACTGTGTAACTCATAAAGCTACAAGAGAGTTTAATGGTACTTATAAAGATCTGGCAAGTATTTTGTTTGTTTGTTGTTGTTGTTTTGAGTTAGGATTTCTCTGCATAGCCTTGACTGTCCTAGAACTCCATCTGTAGACCAGGCTGGCCTTGAACTCAAAGATCTGCCTGCCTCAGCCTCCCCAGAGCTGGGATTAAAGATGTGTGCCACCATGCCCACCAAGATCTGACAAGTATTTGAGGTGACAGAGATGTCTAACCTGACCACACTGTAAACATGTATGGAAACATCACAAGGGGCCTCACTGAGAGGTGACCATTTTGTGCCTTCATGTATCAGATAAATGTAAACTTAATTTTAGAAAAAAATAAAAATAAAAACAAGATTTTCACAAAGCATAATGACTTTTTATCTAACCCTTGCTTGATACTTCATATATTGACTTACCAAAGGGGAAAAGGTGAGAGGGCCCTGCACACGCTGTAGAAGCACAGCAGAATAGAGACCGGCCAGGCCACAACACACAAGCAGAAGGAAAGAAGGTACCAGTGTCTGCCCAACCTCTGCTACAGGTTCACTTCATCTAATCTCTAAAACAGCCATTCAATGTCCATTTCATACGTAAGGAAATTAAAAACCATGATTAAGGATGTGTCTAATATTAAGTAATAGCATGATATGGGCACAATGTCTGTATGTAAGATAAGAATCTCACCTTTGCCATTACTAAACAAATAATGATTGCACATGTTACTAAAATTGTTTGTAAAGCATTTTAATCATAACCTCTCTAATGCTAAGTATCTTCAGTATATATATATATATATATATATATATACACACACACACACACACACACACACACACACACCAGAGTCTCTTCTTCCATTCATCCACTGGTGAGTAGCTGGGCTGATTTCATAATGTGCCAGGGTTGAGTGGACAAATAAACATGGGTATGCAGTAAATCATTTTTGTATGCTGACTCTGGTGTTTACACAGAAGTGGCAGAGAATTCTCCATGCACAATTCATAATTCATTTTTACTCAGTCATAATGAAGAATGAAATGATGATATGTGTAGGAAAATGGATGGGTCATTATGTTAAGTGAAATGAGCCAGCTCACAAAGATAAATATGGCATCATTTTTTCTCTCTCACATGTGCAATATAGAGTGATTAAAAAAAGGATGCAAAAGTAACAGGGCACTACTAAAGATGTGGAAAGGAAGGGCAAGGGAGAGAAAGAATAGTAGAGGAAGGTTTAGGGTCAAAGTGAATACATACATTGTGAATGATGATATTGTACATACTTATATTAAAATATCCTTATGGAACAGTACCATGAACAATGAGTATACACAATGAAAACAAAACAGCAGTAATAACAAAGGAATATTAAAAGGATTGTCTCTACAAATAATAAAAAAAATTGAGCAATAGAAGGGTGTATACAACCCCTGTATAATAAATGCGTGTGTGGGAGAATCATAATGAAACCTCTCACTTTGTGCAATTAATATCCACAATTTATATATACACATATTATATATATATATATATATATATATATATATAATACAAATTTTAAGTGCAAGTTATCCTATAGGACTGAAGACATAATTCTTGGTACAGAAGTGTTTTCAGATGTCCAAGACCCAGGATTTGATCCTCAGTATTAACAAGACAACAAAGAAGAAAAGAATAAAGATGGGGAGAGAGGAACATTGACTAACATAATTCTATCTAGACACAGAAGAATGTGAAGGATAAGAGAAAATAAGGACACACAAATTGAGAAAGATTTAGGTCTGTGTATTGAAAAAAATCTAACAATTTGTACTTTAAAAATGCACTATTTAGAAAAAATTTCTGGCTAAGTGTATAGGAAATAATTAGAAAAAAAAAACTAGAACAAAACCACATCATAAATATATCTTCCTAGAGGCCAAGTGCAGAGTACATATAAAGTACAGATATCGACATTTGTAATGAACTCTGTGATTCTTGTACATAATTAAGTCAAAAACCAAATTCTTCTGTTTTGGAATAAACACCATGGCCAAACGCAACATGCGGAAAGGGGCTGTTTATTTCAGCTTGCAGTTTAGAAGTGCATCATCTAGGGAAACTGAAGTAGAAATTCAAGCATGGCAAGAACCTGGAGGCAGGAGCTGGTGCAAAGGCCTTGGAGGAACAATGCTTACTGGCTTCCTCTCTGTTCCTATTTTCTTATAGCACCCAGAACCACCTGCCCAGGGGTGGTGGTGCCACTCACAATGGGCTGGGCCCTCCTTCATCAGTTAGCCATCAAGAAAATACCCTCACAGAAATCTCAGAGGTCCATCTAATGAAGGCACTTCCTCAGGTGATATTTCCTTTTCCCAGGTATCTCTACCTCATGTCACATTGACAAACACTAACTAGCATATGAGGTGACTTCTAATTCCAAAATTGTTTGAATTTCAGATGTGCATTCCTATAATCTGAATAATACGATCAATAAAATGATCTAATTAGATGTACAAAAGTATGTGAAAGCATTTAGAAAATATTTTTGAACATATATAAGCATAGCCTCGAGTGAAATTTGTATATATCATATTTAAAATTATATTTTAAAAGGGCTCAATTCAACTCCCTACTTTAAAAAAAAAGCATATGTAGGAACTTTTATCTTGAAAATAAAGACCCCCCAATACAGAGTCCAGGTTTCAATACTCACTTCACTAAAGAATAATCAAATCTGCATCATTAGTAAAAGAATCACAGGAAATAGTTCAAGTAAGGCCCCCAGACTTGGTGGGAGCTCTGGTTCTTACACACACAACACTTATGAAGGAAGAGCTGGAGCTGAAACCAAAAGACAGATCACCAAACTAGAAGCAGCACAGAGTGAAGGGCATACTAACTGGCATGAATGGGCATGCCCCAGTGATTTACATGTGTGCTGTCTATGTGTATTTCACAGGCACTGTTCATTTTGCAAGGCACTCTAGAGCTGGTGCAGAGTACATGACCGAATAATGAATGGGTAAACTGCATAAGCAGGGGAAGGCTCGGGGCTATTATTCAAATTATTAAACATTCTCAGCCATTTATATGTATGTTGGGAAATGATAAAATATTAAAACTAATATTTACCTTACATTTTGTAGATTAAAATTTTTATTTTTTGCGAAAAAAAATGTACTAAGTAGTTTCAACAGTGTTTGCCTTCTTCTTTTTGCATACGCTTTATGGAGTGGGTATCTATTTCATCCTATAGAATTGTGTGGAATAGAGTCCACATTGGCAGAGGGAGGGTAGGGTAGCAGGAACAACTGAGAACTTGCATCTTGATCCAAAATCAGCAGACCAAGAGCACACTGGGAGTGATGGGTGGCATTTGAAGCTTCATAGCCTGCCCCTGTAACACACCTTCTCCAACAAGGCCACACCTCATAATCCTTCCTAAACAGTTCCATTAGTTGGGAATAAGCTCATGAACCTCTGGGTAGCATTCTCATTCAAACTACCACAACTCTTCATGTCATCATCTGTCCCTGACAGTTCCTTTAGCATGGGATTGAGATGGCATTACTTCCTCTGAGGCAATAGCTTCTGGTATATCACATTCTCAGTGTATGCTTACGCATTCACCTCCAGACCTTTAACTGCATGTATACTATCTAGGACTGCAAAAAAAGACCACATCTGCTATCTCTATTCTGTGTCAAATTGACAAACACTAACCAGAATATGAGGTAATTGCTAATTCCAAAATTATTTAAAATTCAGTTGTACATTTCTGCAATCTGAATATTTCAGTGAACTGTTTCTTCTACAAAGCAATTACTGGCAGCAATTTTTACTTTGTTGCTTTGATACGCTTTCACCTCAGGTGGTCAGTTTTCTCTTTCTGGAATGCATTTCTGTAAAATATCACATAGATTCCTTGCCAGGGGACAACAGACAACACACCCACAGGTGTTGCTGTTTGTGAGAATTGTATAACAGATGGAAAGTGGCAACCCACCAACAAATTCCGAAAGAAGTGATTTAACTTAGTCACCTATTATAATGGGCTTTAGTTCTTCTTTGTGTGATGATTTTGAGGGTGAAGAGCGAGCAGTAAAGTTTGTACCTTGCATAATTGCTCTTAATTTATGCACTGCAGTAACAGATATTTAAATTGTGTTCTTCGGGACGGGTTCTATTAAAGTCACAACTGGAATGTGAATAGACTGCACAAGGAGTAGCGCAGCTTGTGTTAAGGAATGCTTCTCTTCTGTATCCTTCCCCTTCACTACAGCCTTTCAGACCATGACTAACAGAAAGACGTGCTCACTGCTCACCCCAGTCTATCTTCTCCGCCTCAGCAGTAGGGAGAATTTGACATTTGATAAATCATGGCATGCCTTTTTAACGGAAGACAAATGACACTCTGATGAAGATACTGTGTCTCAAAACAATGCCTCATCTTTGTTTTCATAATTATCAGTTAAGCTATAAATGATAATTTACCTTCAGTTTGCAGGTGAACTCTAAGTGATAATATATAGCTAAAAAGTAGGTGGCAAGTGGCAAATAAGAAGCAAGATGTGGAAGCTGGGGGGTGACACAGAGGATGGCTTCTCTAAGATGAGGTGCCCTACCCCCAATCTTATCTTTTTTTTTTTCAGATATCACAAGGGTGTAGACTGGAGAGGAAGGGCTGTGAGAACCCTGCTGTAACATTGTTTCCTATGTTGACTCTCTCACTGCATGTAATAAGCCTCACATGTGAGACTTAAGAGTTGGATATGTGGCCACAGCTGCTCACCAAGCAGTGAAACAGAATTTGAAGGTGATTTTTCTTCAACTTAATGCTACAAAACTAACATTGCGGGAAGAAAAAAAATTTGACTTTAATCTCAATTTATGATTATATGTCATGTGATTGAGATTGTTGTTTATAAAACTGTAATATGTTAATCGAAATGTTCATACAAATATCACAAAGAGAAACAGCACGTTGGCTACTGTGGCAGCTAGGTCTTCAATAACTTAAAAGGCAGCTGTCCAAAGCACTTTTTATAAGGGGATGAGATGAGGCTTCTGCCAAGCCCTTTCAGCCATCAGTGAAATTTAAGTTTTTCTTTGATTACTTCTAATCTTTTTTTTTAATCTTTTGGTTTTCTGGGACAGAGATTGAACCCAGTGTTACATGCACACAGACAAGCACAGTGCCGCTGAGCCATAATTCCAGCCCATATTATTTCTAAGCCTTCAGGCTAATTATTGGTAATAGTTTTATATATTAAATGAAAAATAAGAAAAATTTATGTTGGCAAAGTAATTGTTGAGTTGAACAGCTTATTTGATAAAAGTCAAAGTTCCTAAATATGGAAGTTCACTCAGTTATACATTTTCACAAAAGCTCTACAAAGTAATTGTATTTTTCTGAACTATATGTTTGTGGAAAAGGGAAGGAAGTCCAAAGATATTAAGCAACCTCCTTAAGATCCTAAAGGTAGAAGTGATGTAGCTTGGATTAAATTTAGGTTTTTATGATAATAAGGCCATAGCCCAATTTCCTTTCATTTTTCTATAGCCTCTGAGTTAACTCCAACTTATTGTTTTGGTAAATAAAAAACTGAAACAATGCCACACTGGTTATTTCCTATGGTTGTTTTCACACTGCAACAGTAAAGCTGATTATCCAAGACAGATTTGCCAAAATAAGTTTGAACGTTAACAAAAGTTGACCAAAATCTGAACTATAATTCTTATCTTCACACCCCACTTTTCATCCTAAATTCTATGCATGTGTTCAACTTTTAATTAGACTCCAGAACATAACCAGCAATTGATTAATTATACATGTGTTAAATATAATAACAGATGTTGATAATTTTAATAACATTAGACATATTGAAAAATTACACTTTTTATATAATTGCCTCACAGCGAACAACAGAATGAATCTTTGAAAAATGCAATCATTTTATTTGCTCAAACTCACAATTAACAATAAAATGCATAAGTGTTCTACTTGATAAAATCTGTTTATTATCTGGATAGAGTAATAAACTTCTAGATTCCCTTAAAATTAATGGTCTAGCCAAGCAATGGTGGCACATGCCTTTAATCCCAACACTTGGGAGGCAGAGGCAGCCAGATCTCTGTGAGTTTGAGGCTATAATGCAAGCTTGAGGACAGTCAGAGCTACAAAGAGAAACCCTGTCTCAAAAAAAAAAAGCATCAAAAGAGAAAAAAACAAAAACAAAAAAAAGAAAATCAGTAGTCTAAAAGAAAGAAAGATGTATTTATTAAGTAACTGAAGTAAAAAGTAAAAAATTTAGTCATGAGCCTGTAATTGCTGAATATGGGAGACTTGAGCCCTCCCCAAAAAAAATCTACAAATAACTGATTTTATATTTTGAACTCTATCTAAAACATTATACTTCACTGTTCACAAAAGAAGCACTTAACTCACACCTTTCTCTTGTAATATTCATTTCAAGACTTTCTGAAAAAATGTTTCAAGGTAGAAAAAGAGCTAAGTCAGCATAAAAATAACGTATGGAGAATGAGCAAAGGTGATCTGCTAGAAACTTTGAGGAGAAGCATTCATAAAAGTGTTCCCAAGTGTAAATAATCTTTCCCACTGATCTGTTGGAGACTCAGTACAGCTCCCCTCTCTTGACACTTCTCAGTGTGGTCTCTCTGGCATTTCTGCCACCTGGTCTGCTCCGACTCTATTTGAATATTGACCCATTTGAATGTTGACCCTGGGCCTTCTACCAAGATAGATGTCCCCAGAGAAGGTGTGAAAGCTCAGAGATGCCAAGAGAGGCAGATGAGTCACACATCTGTGCTCCCTTGTGTACCTGTCTCCCTACTGCAGATGAATGTGTGTACACGTGTGTCATTTCCTCCCACCAAAGTGTTGGAAGTGTTTCTAAGATTGCACCCAATTTACCACAGGGGAAGACACAAAACAGAGAGTGTTGACCTCTGTTTCAAGGTATACACTTAGGCCCAAAAGGCACCAAGTGTCAACCTCTTATTGTTCCTGGCAGGTGACTACACACACACACACACACACACACACACACACACACACACACACACACATACAAAACTTCTGAAGTTCCTTGAGCTTCATCTCTAAAGGGAGATCCACTGAAGACATTTTCCTCTTCTCTATTTGGGAGCCAAAGTAGGTGTATTTTCACAGATATTAAATACAGTCACACTAAAGTCTTATTTTTTTAAAAAAAAATTATAGTTCATTGAAATTAGGAGGTATTATCTTCAGTGATGATGAAAGAAGCCAAAGCCCCACGAGTCTTGGGGGCTCCTTGTTTTCTTTGTTTTGTGATAGGATTTCACACAGCCCAGACTGACCCTGACTTCACTATGTACCTGAAGATGACCCTCAAGCCCTGAGCCTTGGGCCTTCACTTCCCAATGTTGGGAATGCAGGCAAGCGCCACCACGCTTGGTGCTGTGAAAGGGTTTGATTCATAAGCATAATCTTAGCTATTTTTTCATGGGCTTCCAGCTTTAAAAATTCCAATGTAATCACACACAGGAACATTGAAATAAAAACCCTAAGTAACAAAATTAAGTACTCTAAGGAAAGAAAACATTGTTCCCATTTGTTTCTGAGGTCTAATCAGCAGGTTCACGTTCTCTCACCTCCACATACCTGTCACACTCCTGAGAAGCAGTGATGTGCATGAATCAGACACCACACACCAGCACTGAGTTATTAGCCATCCCAGCTCATCAGTCACAATGTCACTACCCACCTACATAGAGGACTCCCTCTTTTGTCTTTCCTGCTGCTTCTGCCACACCCTGCTTGGTTTTTTCAGCAGCAGCCACAACTCCTTCCTTGGCCTTGGAAAGTCCTTTCATGAACACATCCATGGTTAAAGATGTATCTTCCTCCACACTAGAAAATACACAATACATTTTCAATTAAAAATTTGGGTAAAAGAAAACAAGATTAAAGCAGCTAGCGTGGGAAGAATAAAAAAAAATTGAGAAAGAAATCACTGAAAAATCAATAGGGACCACCCCTCCCCCATATCTGTGTAAGTACACTTACATTTGGGGTTTTTTTTGTTTGTTGTTTTTTGTTTGTTTGCTTTGTTGTTTGGGGGTTTTTGTTTTTTGTTTTTTTGGGTTTTTTTTAGGACTGGGCATGGTGTTACTTGTCAGCCGTTTCCCTCAAATCTAAGAAAAGTCAAGTGACTTAAGGATGGGAGAGATCCAGATGGATCACCTGGCAGTTCTTCCAGCAATTGAGAAGTGGGGTTACATTGGAAGATGAATGACCTCTACCCCATCAAAGTCCCGTGTCCCAAAGGCGACATTCTAAGGAAAAAGCCTATCCAGAAAACAAAATGGTGTTGGGGGGAGGGGTCGTGTGGGGGGAGGATTGGGGGAAAGCTGAAGTCCTGAGGCAAGAGTCAAAATGACCCAGTTAGTAACTGGTTAGTCTTTGGGGAGGAGAGGGAGGCGAACTGCTCACTTCAAGATGAAGGGAACAGCGGGCCAACTGCCAGCAGCCCAGCTTTTCTAACCTGGCAAGACCTTCCACTCCCCACTAGCTCTCCAGCCTGCTATCTGCCCGGAGCAGGCGCTGTCCATACACTTAAACAGTCTCACTTCGGCGGCGCCTCTCACCCTAGGGGCACTGTCCTCAACTGGAATCTCCTAGAAGACCCCCGCACCCCGTGCTCATTAACCCCTTATCACCTGTTGCCAAGTGTCCTCGGCACTTCTATCAATCACTGGCCAAATGCAGCCTCCTTACTCCACAGATCAAAGCTAGAACGCTCCCGGGGTGGGGGGTGAAAGTTAGATGCTCATGTTTCTCCCAACCCACAGCACCCAGCTTCCAGGACCCAGCACCCAACACGAAACACCGTAGTGTTTCTGCTCGAAAAAGCAGATGCCACAGGCAGCCTGGCCTTTCCCTCGGGCTTTGGGAGGATGGAAGGGGCCCGTCTCCAGCCGGAAGAAAGCCAAGTAATGTACTTTCCTCGCGCTGGCCGCGTTCCCACCGCCGAGGTAGCCGCCGCTGATCTCCTCCAGGCGTCCAGACTCCTCTTAGCCAGGGCTCTCCGGGATCCCCAGAGCTGTGCGATCTACAGGTACTTACCGGCGCCCTTGGCTTCCGCACAATTCCGATTCCTCCTCTTTCGAACGAACCCCTGATCTTATTTCAATGGCAGTGGGAAGGAAGGCTCTGGACAGAGGGGCAGGGGCAGCACCTGCTGGTCTCCTGCCGTCTGCTGCTGGGCGCTCTGGCTCCCGGACTCCTCCACGTCGCCCCCGCAGCTGATTTGTCAGCGCCTCTCCCCGCCCCTCGCCTGCCTCGTGCCTTCGCCCCTTTCCTGGGGAGGGATGGGATGGAGATGCGGGAGAGCTGCGGGTACGAGGAGCGTGCTCCCCAGGAGGAGGGAAGAGAGCGTGGCCTGAGCTCAAGTTCAGGGATCCTGGTCTCTACAGAGAATGAACTTGGGCTGATGTCTGTCCTGCCCATCACCCGCCTTCCCTGCCTCCGCCTGTTCCAGGTTCCTCTCGGCGACCCTCCTCGGGGATGAGCTGGGACGCGGACCGCCTGAGGCTGCCTGTGTGCGGAGCCAGACCCAGGGGAGAGAGTACACACCCTTTGGGTTGCTTTTGTTCACACAGTCTGAGATTTCCATTTGCTTTTAAGCCTGCAAGGACCTCAAAGGGCTTTGAGTGTGAAGAGGAGCCGATTAAGGAAGAGTTACAGGTCGAGAAGGCAAGGGGAGCCTCAGCAAATCCTCTTTCCGACTCCACTATCACCATTTTCTTTTCCACCAATCAGCAGCTGCCAGGCGCTGATTTTTTTCCCATCTGTGGAGCAAGGAATAAATATCCCCCAACCGTCGAAAACCAGCTGCCTAGAGTTGTTTTGGCTCTTGAAATGTGGCTTACTGTAGAGACCCACATACAGGCTTGGGAGATAACGCCTGTGGGATTCACCCTCTGGGAGCGTCAGAAGCAGTTTCTTCCTCCGCCCCCAGGGATAGGCCGATTTTGCACACCTCTTACCTTTCCGACTTCTAGCTGCTTAGAGCTCCAGCTGACAAACCCTTCTCCCAGCCCCAGCACACACGCAGATGCACACGCTTCCAGACAATCTTTGTGTTGCTTAACACATCTCCACTTCTTTCCCAGCTGAGCAGAATACCGCGGTTCCCACAGCTGACTAGAGCGGAGAACCAAGCTCCTCCCCCCGCAGGACGCTGTGGTTGCTTCCCTTTCTTGTGTTCTGAACTTGTGTTGGACACCGAAAGCAAAATCAAGCTTTCGCTGTATTTAAAAAAAAAAAAAAAAAAAAAAAAAACGTTGTAGAGGGAAAAATGCTTTCTTTGATCTTTGCGCTCGTTTGACTTCCGAATTCTGAATAACAAATAAATAATAAAGCTGAAATCTGAAAGACATTTTGAAACGAGGGGCAAGCAGTTAATTTTCGAGCTCTATAGAGAGGAGGCAGGTAGAACCACACATGCTGAGTAGAAGCCATGTGACCGAAATTCATTGCTTCAGCACCTCACGCATGCTTGGCTTCCTTTTATAAATCAACCTTCCCACACAGTGGTAGCAAATATTGTGTTTACTTGAAATTAGAGGAAGAAAGTGGTGTTCCTGAAGTAGACAAGGTCAGATCCTGGGCCTTGGTATCCCTAATGAAGCAGGTTAGGACATCTGTCCTCAACAGGCCAGCTAAAGAGACATATAAATTGTACAGGGGGGGGGGGGCAGGGAGTTAGTCAATGTGTCCACATTGAGAAGAGGAACAAAGAGGTCCAGTGCCCCCAAGTTCATCTTTGGGGACCTGATATGAGGTTCAGGTTTACACAGGTGGCAGGAAGTCTGTATAACTAAGCAATCCTGGTCAAAGTGTGGTTCCAGCCATCACTGTTGTCCATGCTCCTGTCTCTTCTACAAGGTGTCTGGTTTGTGTGAACTCTGAAACTTCTTCCTGGGAGACGTGCTGTCCCTATATTGGACACAGTGCTTCAGCCTTTTCCTTCCCCCAGCAAATTCCTTTTCAATTTCAATTTCTGGGGGTCTATTGTTCAATAGTCTGAAGCCAGATGAAAGGACACACATGTCTCTTAAAGGTAACTTCTGCACAGCCCTATTTACCTAGGAGCTGGTTCTCTGGCTCTCAGAACTTGACCAAGTTATGTTCTATTTTTCCTCAATTTTCTTTCATAAAAGGGAAAATGAACTGTGATGATGCCACTCCTCTGAAATTTTGTTATGTAAAATATTCAAACTATATAGAGTGGTGTGAACAAGACTCCCACATGAATATCACTGGCTTCCACAATTTTTCAAAGCATGACTTTGTGCCATTAGTGTGGCTACTTTGTAACTAACAGTTCCTCTCCTTATTGAGGTTTAAGCTTTACACATTTTTCCACCTGTGAACATTCCAGCACACATTCATAAATATGAGTACAATTGAAATATCTCAATGACATCAGATGATATTCTATGTTAAAATACAGTTCATAAAGTGAACTGCCCAGATTTTAAGTGTCTCACAGTTTTGAAAGATACATTTGATAGCATAACTTACACCATTTTGAAGAGAGACTATTTTATTACCTAGAAGTTCCCTTGCGCCCTTCTTAAGGAAATATGAAAAACTAAGCAGTACTGGTCAAGGTGTGGTTCCTGCCTTCAGCATTGTTTGGCTCCAGTATCTCCAGTTATGTGGTGTGGGCAGTTGTCTGCCCTGTGTGAAATCACAAAAGATAGAAGGAAAACTGTGAAATAGTTCTCAACATTTTGAACTACGCATATAGTTCTTTTTTATTCTGTGCATATTCATGGAGTATGACCGTTGTTTATATCAGTCAGCATAATGTGTTAGTTCACCCATGTTGTTCCATGAATCAGTATATTGCTTTCTTTTCTTTTTTTATTACTGCCAATAATACATTTTCACAGTGAACCATAAAACTCAGTTAGCTGGATAGACTACAGGGACAATTATGCAATATATTTCCTAATATGACATATTTATAAGTTCACAGGGATCCCCTTAAGCCCTGGTGCTTTTGGTTAAAAGAGAAATAAAATGGCAGAGACTTTTGGGCTTAACAGCCCACCAACGAGGGAATAACCAGGATGACTCTGCTTCCTACAACGCAGCAGCAGCATAACTCCACATCTGTATACAGTGGTTTATGTCTGGCAAAGGACCAAGGTGCTGTGCCATTTAATCATAACAGGGGGATAAATTGAATTTTGTTTCACTTTTCTAGACAGGAAAACTGGAGCTCCAAGATTGTGTTGGATTCAGATCACTTCACTCATGAGTCGGACATAAGATAATCTAGCAGGCTTTTCTGGAACGCACAATCCTCTATCATTGTAAACCACTCTCTAAAGTCTCCCAGATAAGGGATGTAAAGGAAAAAAAGTAGGGCCCAGCTGTGTTAGAAATAGCCTTCAAATGTGAATATGACCATGGAAAATCAGGAACATAGGTTCTCATGAAGGCAATCATGGAGTATCTGCATCAGTAGTCTTTGGTGTTGGGAGACTGCTTCTCTCCATTGACACACACACACACACACACACACACACACACAGAGAGAGAGAGAGAGAGAGAGAGAGAGAGAGAGAGAGAGAGAGAGAGAGAGAGAGAGAGAGAAATACTAAAATGGTAAAATTATTTTCACCATTTTGAATTATTAGTATAGTTCTGTTTTATTCCATCCACATCTCAAAATGCTGTGAGCACAGTAAGCAGCTGTTTTAACTGCTGATGTTACTGAAAATCCTCTTCTGGGTTCTTATCTCTGCATTTATAATGGAGCTGAAGTCCTCTAGAAGAAAGAAAGGAACTGGAAGTTACTGCTGTTTTCTTCTTTTTGTTCACACCCTCAGCGGTAGCAAAGCCTTTCCCTGAAAATAACTTTAAAATTTAAAGTTGATAACTGTACTGTAAGGAAGAGTAGCTTTATGGGACATATGGGTGGTGTGCACATTGATACCTGCTGCTCAGATTTGTTAGCTGCTCTTTCAAGAATGAAATCTATTGTTTCACCATGCTAATAGCCTTGACTTAACTGGGCTTAATCAGGTAGTTATACTGTAGATTAGCATTCTATTGAAATATATACTTAACCTGGACTTCCTTTGATTTCTCCCAAGAAACAAGTGAATTTTGAGGTTTGCTGTGCAGTAAGCATTCACTATTACAAAGAGTGAGATGCCATGGTAAGAAGGAAGCTTCTTATGACGAGTAGAAGTGAGTAGAAGGATGGAACACATTGACTTAATGTGCTTAAGTGAGTACAGGAGCAGTATGTTTATCATTGAGCCTCTGCTTCTTAGGATCTGTCTGTCCCTTGCCCATCTTCTATAATCACATGAGACATGTGTTGCTGAGATCTGCATATATCTATCCTACAATCTTAAATGGGAGGTGCAGGGGAAATGCCCAGTACGTGGCTTTAGGATAGCATCAGGTTTTGTTTTCAAAGGGTCATGAACTTGAGATAGAACAGTGACATTACTCCGAATTAAAAAATAAAAAAGAATCAATAAAAAAGAAATGTAGTACCTGAAGAAGACCTTTAATCTGACCCCTTGTGCAATTTATATCATTTCTATCATTCCACAGGCAGAAGGTGGTAATGGACAACAATGAAGAACAAATGTAAATTCTGACCACAGGAAAATAGCATGGCATATATAAATAATTCAGTTAGATATCTTTCTAAACACCACAATCATTTTTGTGAACACGAAGACATATACAATTTTAAGATTAAAGACAACAAAACCAACACAAAATGCATTTACTATTTTAGAATATAAGAAATTCATGGACATCAGAATTACAAAAAAAATCTTATTGATGAACCCAAGAAATGAACTCACCTCTAGTAAACAGGATGGACTTCTGAGAGTGCCCAAGGTAAGAGATTGACCCATGTGCTGCTACTTGCCAGGAATAAATAAGAACTAGACCTCACATTTCTGATCTCATCTGCAAAATAGGGTAGATATTTTATTTGTCTTGTGTGATATCAGTAATTAATAAGAGGGTTCTTAGAAAAGCTTCAACTGAGTGTAATCTCAAAATGAGTGCACGTGTTTTAATGTTTAAGTTTGTGTATGTGTCTGTATAGAGTATGTACACATGAGTACAGTGGCCAAGGAGCTTAGAGGCATGAGATCTTCTGGAGTTGGAGACGCAGGCTGTTTAAGCCTTCTGATGTGAGCACTAAGAACTGTACCTGGGTCTCTTCAAAAGCAATTTGAGCACTTAATCACCAAACCATCTCTCTAGTGCCATGAGTAGGTATTTTTATGTAGACTGCTGTTTGACATGAGCTAGGAAGCAATTATTTTCTTTGTGGTAGTTTTGCAGGCCTGTGTCATCTCTCATTCCATTCACAACATGGCTGAGATGTCTGTTACTGCCATCAATGGTTTTGTCTTAATATACTAAGTAAACTATTTCCAACCAGGGATAAAAGTTGATGTGATGCAACTTTTAATACCTCAGATGAGCAAAAGTGGGCAGGTTAGTGAGACAGATGTACTTTTCAGTAATATTTTTCTCAGAAGGACAGAAAATAAATGGATGAAAAAGCATCTCAAAGGAATTTATGTCTTTCTGACTTGAATTGGTTATTATGTCTTTCAAGGAGAGAAATAACAAAAAGTCAACAAAATGAGCATTTTCTTGTAACATCAGAAACTCGGAGCATCTAATACTTTTTTCCTGTTTAGATAATTTGAGAGTATGAAGTGATATTTAAGAAATTTCCTATAACATTATATAAAATACATCATTAGTATTGTCAAAGCTTATTTTTATACATCAAGTATAGAAAAAGTTATTAAGCAATTTAGAAAATAAAATTATGAGCAAAGTGATGATTTATTAGTAGATAAATACTTTATTTTCAAACATAGTATTTTAAAGTCCATTTATATTTAAGTCCCACTCCAGTTTTCTCATTAAAACACTAGCTATTATGTGTGTGTATTTATATCAGAATAAGAAACTCCAGGTAATTTTCAAAGAGACTTTGTGTGCAGCAGCCATGAAATGTTTGAGTAAGACTGAAAGAATAGAGCTATGTGTTCTTATTTTACTTGTCAAGATCTAGACTACAGAAATAAAACTTTATAGTATATAACTTTCTAATTCATAAAAGAAGTATGTACACAACAAAG